AAACACAACAATTAAAAAAACTGATGGAATACAACCAAGAAAAAAAATCCATCTGCTCGTTGAAAATGACACTGGAATGGTAGCATTATAAATAAAACGCTGCTGGAAAGTGCAGTCATGTTTTAAAGAAGATTCAGAGCATCAATTGCACTAGGAACATACAGACATTTGTATCTGTTGGTCTTAGCCTTGGGCTGCCTTGTACCTCCGACCAGAGGGGTGGAGAACAAATTCCTCCAAGAGAGGTCGGTCAGAGCTGAACAAGATCAACGTTGCTTTCCTCACAATTTGTCTGTTCCGGATATCTGACAAGGAAAGCTGCTGTGTGCTGATTATTTTACTGGCTGTAGTAGTTCTGTAGTAGTTCAGTTTATCATATAAACAGGTTGTGACTGGAAAATGACATTAAAAGAAGATTTGAAAATAGCATTCCCTCAGTGCTCCGTCTACACCCTCCCCCTCCCCTCTGTGCCCCCTCAAAAGCCACGCCCCTCACTTATATGCACGAGCACCGTTGCTCCAGCAGTAGACCTCAGCTCATCGCTTGCATTGCTTAGAAACTACCTCGTCTCATGTCTTATTCAGCAGTAAGAAAACACTAAACTTTATCATCATACATGTTAAAAAACGTGACTATTGTATTACTCACAACGGCCAACAACAAACTCACAGTATAAACTCTGTCATCAGTGACAGACTTTGAGTGTGGGCTAGTGCACGCAAGGGATAGAGAATGAGCAGGGAGACATGGAGGCCTGATGGGTTCATCAGATTGGTACCTCGTGGAAGACATTGGTCGAAGTTTTTACAGGCTTACAACTACTGCAGTGAAGGATTTTCTTTGTTTCTTTTTCAGAGCACATAAGTTATTAATTTCTGTCAGGACCTAAAGACAATTCAACCAAAATCTGGAGGAATTTATGAACCCTGCCTTTAAATGTTTCCAAACTTGAACAAGAAATGTTTTCAGATAAACATTTTCTTTATTTGTAATAGGACAAAAACAAAAACCTAACCAACATTATAAATGTTACCCCCTCTGTTGTATCAGCCTCTTTTTTAAATGATACTTTAATAATCAGGGTTTATGTCATGTTTAAACGGGACATATTATGAAAAATCCACTTTGACAGCGTTTTTGAACATACTGTATATTTGGGTAACCTGAGTCTACTGACCCACAAAATGTGAAATAAACCCATCCAGTTCTTTGTTTGTGGTCTGTATAAGTCTCACAACACAGAGAAAAATGCTCCGTTTTAAATTTGTTCTCCTTGTGATGTCAGAGTAGGATTCTGTTAAAAAAAGAAATCCCCTCCCCTCCCCTGATATCTCCACCCATGGTCTCCACCCCCAAACTAGAACAAAACTTTTGCACAGGTCTGCCATTTTTATTTTCACTACAGAGGAGTGATGTCTACCAAGAAAACTTTGGGGGGGCTCATTGCATTTAAAGAGACACACACACCAAAACGAACGTTCTGAGAGAGCTGGTTTATACAGGGTCACAAACCTCCTCTGGTGCTTGATTCATGTTATATTTTGACCAAAGCACAGCACAGATGTTTCATTTAGAAGAGGGATAATATGTCTTCTTTAAGTAAAAGGATATTTTATGAATGGAAATGTTTTTACTGTTTAAGAAAAGAGTGACATTCTCTCTAGCTCACTCATGAACAGTTTAAACACTATTTTAGTATCTCTCTCTCTCTCTCTGAAAAGGGGGGGGGGGTCTCTCATTCAAAGCACTGACCAATTTTCTTGTAGCACGATGCAACACACTGTACAGCCCTTAGTGTGCTTATGGCTCAGCTCTTAGGATGCTCCATGTATCCTTATCAAACACTGGAGAGACTCTGTTAAATATAAGAGACATACTACATTTGAACTATTGTCTTTCAGTGATTAAATAATCTGCTTGAATTGTAATTGATTTTTGAAGTCATCTCACCAATAGAATACCCCATTGATCAAAATGATAAACAGTCTAATGCAGGCTGTAGTATTCTGCACAGAATATCAATTTCAAGGTGAACCAAGGAAGCTGTAGTTGAACTTTATAACTGGCATTTAAAACTGAACCACGGTTCAAACCCCCTGAGGCACACAGCAGGACCGTCCACTGACCATGTTGGTGAACAGGGCTACTTATTACCATGAATCTCATTTCAGGGTCAGCAGCAACAGCATCCCTAGACTGAAATATTAACAGCTAAAAACAGGCGAGCAGTGACTGGCCAATAAACTCATCAATATGTTACAGGAGTGAGATTTACAAAGAGAGGGATCCTTTGGAAAATGATTTGTGTGCAATTTAGTGAGAAGTTATTATGGAACGTAAGTATCATGAGCTAGAAACATATCATCATTGTAAATATAACTGCATTGCTGTACACTAAACATATCTTCATATATGTTTCGTTGCTCAAAAATCATCTCAGTTTTTTTTTCTTTGCCTAAAATACAAAGACTCTTCAGCGCTCTTCGCCTGATTGTCTTAGTCTTGTGTGGGAATGCTAACTTCCTTTATAAATGAGTGCTATTAAGTCCTAATGCTTTCCAAGCATGATGGAGCAGCTAATTTTAGCTTGGATGCTAATGGCAGTCTAGGACAATTAACATGTCTATTACTGCCATAAACTGTGAATAACGCTGAGGCCATTTATCCTGTTAGAACCGAGTTGAAGAGTAGACAGCCAAAGAGCAGCTGGTAAATTCAGGATATATAGCAGACACTGTGAGGAGGCAAAATACAAACCCAACGGAGGAGTTATTATGAAAAAGATATAAAGTCCATGAGAAGAAGGAAAATTCCCACTATCACTCAAGGTCAGCTGTTCTCCAACTAAATGTGATTTGATGTGATTCATTGTGTTTATTCTGCGGCTGGACACTTTGACTAAAACAACTTCCCCAGCTAATGTGGTAGCGCTTCCTTTCTTGTACATGCACTGTGCAGAGCCAATGAATTACTGCCGCTCTGCCCTGAAAAGCTGCTGCCCAGAAAATATCAAACACTGTTGTGTGTAAATTATTCCCCTCGTCTCTCTCTCTCTCTCTCTTTTTGGGTGTCAGAGTGAATAAATGTGTTCACTGTGAAGCTCTAAGTTTTATGTTACATTATGGCTGTTCTGCTCCCTACATAGAGTTAGATGAAATAGGACTGGAAGCATCCATGCAAGATGGAAGCCTTACTGGGTTTAAATCATGGCTGGCACAATATAGGAGTCCAAGAGATTTAGGGACTATAGGAAAATTACTGTATAAGGGCAGGAAGAGGGGTTGGAATAGGAGAACACTATTTCTTTTTCTATGTCAAAATGTGTATATCATCTGAGCAGTTATCATTGTCATAACATCATTCCTGTTGTTTTTTTTGTCTTCCCTCTTGTTCACAAGTCACACAGTAGGAACTGGGGCAGTGAAGGACTTTCACTCTTAAATGAAGTCCATAAAAGATGCACTTATATTTAAGGAAGAATGTGCTATATTTTACACATAAATACAGCAGATATCAAGTATATCCTGTGTAAATGTCTCCCCGAGTCATGACTGTCTACAATAAGTCACAAGCCTGAGTCCCGCCAGCTGTACAAATACTGTTTTCTTATTATTTTCAATTTCAGGGCCATGATCAGCTTCTGAAACAGGCCAGAACAGGGGAGGAAGCAGAGCAGGGGGGAGGCAGGCACACGCACTACCGTAATCATTGGCGCAAGTTGCTAGATGACCTAAACGAGGGTGGAGAAAACAGCTGCTCTTTGATTGCACAGTACTATATGTGTGTATCGGTCCACTATTTAGAAAGCCCCGGTCTTTCTTTTGCTGACGAGGAGGGAAGAGCAGCAAAGAAGAAGTGGGTGTGGGACAGGTTTATTAAATCTTCAGGGTGCGGCAGGATTTGGGGGAATTGTCAAATCAAATCAAATCACACTCAATTTATCTAGCACGTTACACACAAAACAGCCGTGGTTTAGTTATGGATAGTTAAAAGCTAAGGAGTAAAAGAGTGTTTTGAGATTACTCTTAAAATGTCAACAGTAGGGATAAATTGGATGGAAGGGGGAAGCTTTTGCTCGTCCAGGAGCTGCATCTCTATGACAACCGCTTCACAAGCACAACACACGTTTCTGCTGCTTTTTTAAAAACAACTGGAATGCCCAAATTTATTTCCAAACTGGAGCTTTCTTGCCGATGTCCTGGTAGGTCTTTAAACTGGTATTTCCGAGCTCAGGAAACTAAAGCACTGTTGGTTGTGATTTGTAAATCCCTCCTATTAGACTCGCCAAGGTGTCGTCAAGGCAAGTTAAAAAATGTTTCACTTCTATAGAGCACACACACACGTTGGATGAACTGCAGATTACTCTCGCACCACGCAACACAGAAGGGGCCTTGAGGCTGAAGAAACAATGTGCCGAGGAATAAAAGGAGGATCAAGGACTAACAATGACAATAACATTTCAAAAAAAGTTTCTAAATGTTTTGTAAAAAAATACAGCAGAATTGACCTATCGAACAATACAGCTTTTTTCAACAGACTACATGGTTCCTTCTCTAAATCTCCTCTAATGCCAATACATAAAAGTGCCTAACGTGCATGTGAGACTATACAAATAACAGAGGCGAGTTTTCAGAAGGTTTGGAGGAAATATTGAGCTAATATTGAAGAACAGAACCCAAATTACAAGTGCTCCAAAGAGGGACAAACTTTGTTAGACTGTCAGACTGCCTGAATCAGATCAGACTGAAGCCCTTTTGTAAAGGTCTTAATGCAATGTGGTACTGTTTTTGTATAACTAGAGCAAAGTAAACAGAAAAGAAGTGCTGACCTAACAAAACACAGATGACACAAACGCATAGCTGGAGGAGGTTTTTTGATGCCGAGCACTGATTTAAACTCCACAGAAAATGTTGGAGGTCTTGACTTAACGAAACATATATTCACACATTTAAAGAACGACATCACTGTTGCATCTCTGAGCCAGGAACTTGTCTCCTACCTGTAGACTCCAGGCGGTGTATGTGGGATGATGAAGCTCTTCTCCAGGTCACGGAGAACATCATTCAGCATCCGCACGTGGGAGGGGTCGCGTTCTTTGGGGTCATTTGCAGGTCGCATAGTTTCAGACTGAAAGAAAGCTGCGTGGTCTCTCAGGGAGGAGGCGGATGACAGCAGAGGCTGAGATACCACGCTCTTGTCTAGACACATGTGAAGGGAGAAGACAAAGAATATAAGGAACATCAGATGGAAAAAAAGATCTGAACTTTAAGATGTGTAAATATCTGTTCCAGAGAAGCTGACATTTATGTAAATATATGGACATTTAAGTTAAAGAATTATGTAAAGAAAACAGAGTCAAACTGTAAGAAAGTGGCAACTGTTTCTAGATTAACTGATAGTGTCTTAAAAATGAATCTTGAAAACCTTTTGGGACCAGCAGTATCAGGGCCGACCCCACAAAATCAAAAAAGAGAGATTGAAAAAAAAAAACCCTGAATATGTTCTTCACTTAAAACATTAAAGGTACTGTCAGTTACTTTTTGCTTTGTTTTGTTTGAATCAGGACATTTCTGGGCGGAGAGATGGTGAGTTTCCCCGAGCTAACGACAGCAGAGATTGGATGCGAATCAGACAGGTGAATATAAAACGGACGCAGACGTAGTGGCAAACAAGACCAAGAGGCTACCTCTGGTGTTAATAAGTTAAAAAAGTGCAGTTCCTGGAGTGACCACTTGAGGCTGGCTGCAAAAGTCTAAAAAGTCACATACACACCCATTAAAAAAACAAACAAAAGAAAAAACATGTTCACAGGCTGCTTTAAAAAACTAATTTGTTTTTTAAATATAATATTGTTGTCACATACTGAACAGGGAGTTGAATTCTTTTTATAACTTCTCTGTTTTTATTTCATGAAGGATAAGAGTTATTCACAATAAGGGTTGTGGATGATCTGACTGACGTGCCGGCGTGTTGTAGCTGTTTGTCAGGAGGCCTAAGACCCGCCTCAGCTCCAGCTCTTCCCCTCTTTTTACATTGACCATAAGTTAATTTGAGACTTCAAAGGTCTGCTTCAGAAACCAATGGGTGACGTCAATGAGACAATGAACATGTTTTATAAAGTCTATGGTTCAGACCTAATGTCACTGGGAAATCTTCTTTTGTCACAAGATTAGTCAAACATCCGCACATTCTTTTAAGTCTTATCTCATAATGCAAATAAAATGATTGTATAAGTGTGCAGGGCGTCACAGTCACCAACCAAAAATTAACTTAACGGACAGAGTGGTTAAGATCTGGAGGTGCCTGCATCCAGGTTTTCATCTTAAAACTGTCAGCCACCGAGAGCTCTCCTAAAGTACTGGCCATCACTGGTATCAATCAACTAAGTCAGCACCCAGAGGTCTTTCAGCCTAGAGCTGTATAACTGAAGAACCTCTGCATTCACAGTCGTCTTTCTTCAGTGGGGAATGCTTCAAACTGCTCCCTTTACAACGTCTCTGAACTTTCCTGTAAACATCACACAGCCCATAAAGTTACATATTTATGATATTTGTTAAATAATAAAAAGGGTTAAAATTACATCACTGGGTAGATGGGATTTCACCCAACGCTGCAAAATGACTTTGGAGACATACCACTTAAGTCATTGTTTTTGTCACCCTTTTAACACTAAAACTTAAACATGATGAACATTACAAGACAAAGTAGTGCTATGACTGTATTTTAGCCGGTTGAAAAATGGTTCAAACGAGGTCATGGACTGACCGATCCCATTTCAGTGCTCACTGGGAGTTAACTCACAAACAAAGATAGAGCTCAATCATTCTGTTTCTGAAACCAGGAGCAAAGTTACCCTTCGGCCCCGTGTCCACCTAGCCTTTTTATCCAGGCAGAAAAGTGCTGGCTGTGCGCTCGGGAGGTTTTTAAGAAGCACTGTACGTCTGTCCTGTCTCTATGACAACAGTTTGTTGACAATTATGAGATAGATTGCTCAATTGCTTTTTAATGCATGTTTTATATTTGAGATCGTTAATTTCCCAATCAGACTCGGAGCAAAGAGGATGTGGGTACAAGACACTATCTGTACGCTCAATCCCTGCAGTTCACTGTAACCCAACATATTTAAATCATATCCTTCCTCCTGCACATGTAGTGTTAGCATTAAAAAGATGCATTATTAAAGAGAACAACAGCATCTAGCATCCACAAAAAGGTCTATGGTGCCTGTGGTTCTTTATTCATGTTTAAGAACTGCTGCTAGTCAATGCTGATATGTTTTTTTTTCTGGGACAAAATTAAATCATCAAGGCAGTGTGGATTACTGCATCATAATTGAAGTTCAGTTTCCGTCTCTATACACAGACACGCAGTCGGCATCCTTTCCAAAAGTGTGCTTTAGGGGGCTTAAAGGTCACCTTATTCTCTTCTTTTGCTACGAGTCAAAGAAGCTTCATATTATTTTTGTGCTTTTGCTTTTATTTAAATAAGAGAATGGATAGAGTAAGAAACCGGGAGAGAGAGCAAGAGAGGAATGACATGTGGGAAATGAGCTGCAGGGTCGGACCTGAACCCAGGCCGCCCGCTTGGAGGACTATAACATCCATACATGAGGTACGACCTAGCCCATCAGCTCCACAAATAAGCTTATAATTGACCAGGAAAAGGACGAATGTACGGACATCCTGTACAGCAGCATCACTCTGAAAGATGTTTCAGGACCAGCTATTAGCCAAACTAGCTTTGGTGCCATCAGAGTTTGCTTTAATATGTGAAGTTGACCAAAAGCAGAATCACCAAATGATGCTGTTAGGTTTTATAATTCGGATTGGACTACACCAACACATGGATGATAGTGCAGCTCTTTGATTGACTGCCATGTTTATGATATAATCCTTCTTTACAAATTATAAAATGGAGGCAACAATCACACGGCAACTATCCTGGAAAAAAAAGCTGGCATGGATAATGAATGTGGAATGCACATGGGAAGTATCATGAGAGTCATCATGACATCTTTGAATCTGACATACTACTGTGCCATACATTTTTAATCATCCTCAATATGATCCAATCGCATGCTGAGTTGATGCTAGCTGTGTGTTTTGCATCTTGGTATCAGCTGTAAAACCAAAGACATACTGATTGTGTGTTTGTGTATGTTTTGTCCTGTTGCTATAAATAGGATTTTGAATCCTATAATATCCTAATATAATGGGAACTTTACAGTATGTCAGCCTTCCTCCGTCCTTAATCAGACACACAAAATAAGGAAATCATTTTCTCTTCTGACCTTGAAGCAACCATACACTCAACACATAAACCAAACACACCTTCTTCTTCTTTGTTATTTCTAACTGCTGAGCAATCTACCCCACTGGCTTCTACACACAAACAAACACATCCGCGACTCACACACCTCTATCCTCATTAGCCTGTCAACACAAAGCTGGCTGGCTTTACAGTACATTTGGCACTGCAAATCAATTACCTCACATTTACTGTTAATTGGCCTGTTATTCTTGGCTCTGTTAAATGATATCTGGCTGGGTCCAGTAGAGCCTTTAATCTGTCTGTACGAGGACAAAGGTTCATGTTCAGGTGTTCAGCTCCTAATGGCTTACATTTAGTTCAACAGCAATGGATGCTTTTACATTACACGGACATTGTAATGCTATTGGTTGCAATTTTTCAGGTCGAACGAGCGCTTTCATAAGTTGTATACATGACAGTATGGACTACCAATACCATAAACTCTTTAAGAACCACTTCCATAAAAAGAAAAGTGGATCGAAGTGTGTTACAATAGGGAACATTAAAGGACCAACCTGTAAGATATTTACTGAATTAAAGCGTAAAATGACCTTACTATATCAGCAGACATGCTATGTTGAAGTGCTGGCTTCTCTGAAAATAACACAGCAGCCAGTATGTCCTCCTCCTAAGTTTAGATTCTGGTCCATTGTTTTTTGTTTTGACCAGTAGAAGGTAGGCAGTTTTAAGGCACCCTCACACGGCCGTTTTGGACGCCCCTCGGTTTGCCAGGCAAACGGCAAACCAAAAGGTGTTGCAGCGATGGAAGCAGGCAAGAGAACTGGTTCAGATATAAATGGTTCTACAAGACCTGAAAAGCCTCTGCATTTTTTTAATAAGATGGAAAAAGGCCGATGCAGTGCTGGCTAAAAACTGAAGCTTCAGTGTCCATGACATGGCAACCTGCGTGAGTTGAGTGACTTTTCAAATCTAATTGGTGTAATGGTGGTTTCTTCCAACAAATAAGTTGAAGTCCCGACATTCGAAAGTGTAAAATCAAGGATGAAACAAGGTTTACATTCAATTAAAAAGAGACCATAACCTTATAATATGTCATTTATGACTCCTTATCAACAGGCCAGACTCTGCATCCCAGTGTAACTTTGGGTCTGGAACAGAGCGTGACTCACAGGAGAGCGAGGGGGGTGACTGTAGGGACAAAAATAGCAAAGAGAACTGTTCTCTCCTACAAATTTAAATGGCTCTGGCTCCTCGCAGCCAGCTGGGACTCATGAAATATTGTTTGACTGTTGTAATCCATCACATCTTTTGACACACTGGGATTCGTGCGAGTGTATTTGTATTTGGGTATACAGTGGGGACTTGGCCTCCTGTGATAAAGAGACGAGAAAGAGTAACAAAAGAGCTTTAGGGTGATGCTTTATATATGTACTTTTCAGGTTACAAGTTTATGAATGTTTGCGCTCAGGGTCACATCATTTATATGCATACTGTTATATTTATATTTCTTAGTACTAGTACATTACATACTTTTGGAGTAGAACACAACCACATGATTTAAAGAAACTATTCCTGTTGGTTTAATCTGCAGTCCTAAATGAGCAAGCATTAGGATGAACCTACTTATAGAAGGAAAACTAATGGAAATTACATATTTGGCTCTACTGAGTATTGATACCATGACTATGTGTGTCAATATTTAGGAATTCTCTTTAAAACACATTTTGAATCAAAAAAAAAAAAAAATCCTCAACATGTGTTCTGGGAACAAGATCAGGGTCAGACGAATGAAACTGCTTCTTTTTGAAGAAAGGTATTTTTGATTAAAAGGCTATTTGAACAGTTACAGAAATAGGTGTTGTTTGTGTCAGATATATTTAAAGGAAGCATGTGTGATTTTTTTATCCAGTAGATGTGGCCCTTGAGA